GTGAAGCTGACAAGTCAGGCCACCTGTAATAACCGCAAGTTGGGTTTCCATAGTCTAGGCAATCTTCTTAACATCCTCAGTCAAGTGTCCCCTGAAGGAATAGAAGACAAGCAAGGTCGGTTTATTAAGCAGAGCTCTTGGTCGGCATCCAAATATCTTCTTGAACCAAATTTGCATACCATCAGTATCCATCCAGCCTTTCTCATGCATGTGAAGAAGTATTCCATCGGGAATTTCTTCTTTGGGGAAAGTCTTCCTCTTGAAAATCAACATTGGCTTTAGCTTGGTTCCATCAGCAGCACAACCCAAGACGACACTGTATCTGTTCTTCTCATTTCCAGTTGTCTTTATAGAAACTGTCTTGGCACCTTTCAGATTGACTGTTCTGTTGCTTGGACGCATAAAACGTGTACCTGCTTTATATATGCCCCCCCCCACTTTTTGGGCTTGGAAATTTGGGAAAAAAATGGTGGCTTATACATGGGGAAACACGGTAGATATCTTACTAAGTGATCATCTTCAGCAAACTTCTATCAGCTAATGAATGATGCGATTAAAATCCGTATAATTTAGCTGGCGGACTATACCCCCTCGATACCGACCTCCTCACCTATCCTATTTAAATATGACTGGCTACAAATATATGATAAAACGTGTACGATAGTCTCATCGAGAACGGCTATCAAAGCCATGATTCTCACTTCTAATGTACTTTGGAAACCCGATTTTTCTATAACATCCTTTCCCTCTTCACTCTATTTCATCACATTCTATGAGGCCCCTTCATCTAACTTCTTTTGGAATCGCTAGTGTGGAGAGTTAGCTACTAATTTATCTCCACTGTATCCAGCGTGCGTCTCTTTTTTCTCTCTCACGTTATCAGTCCCTCTTCCAATTCAGCCCAACCTGATTCTAAAGAAAAAAGAAACTCGGAATGTGCTAGTAAAGCCCACCTTTAGACATAATGTCATGTCATAAAAATTGAGGACTGCCTTAGGATGAATATTAAGAGAATGATAAATTAGATTATGCGACGAAGTCCCCGGCTCTTCATCCTGCAATCTTGATGCATGCACAGCTCTCGTCTGCCCTGTTGCAAACATTGTCAGAGCCAGAAACAAATATTTGAAAAATCACCAGGTTATTCAAAAAATATAAGTTGATGGAAGAGGTGAACTATGATAGTAATTTTGAGACGATGCTCCCGAATAAAACACAATATAGATATTGTAAAGCTATATAACATGAGGAGATGAATAGTTATCTAGCAAGTGTGAAATTACAAATGAGAGCGATAATAGAAAGCGTTTCTACTCTTTAACTAAGTTAGAGTATAAGCATACTAGTTCACAAGACGAAGTCGCTTGCGAGTTGATTGTCCCTCGGGTAAGCAAAGGTCTCCATTCAAGGTTTCATTTTTCGGAATGAAGACAAGCGCTTAAATCCGAATGCTAAGCAGATTTAGATACATAATAAATTACAAGCGTAGATAAAGAGATAAACTGGTCTGACTCAGCAAACTATCAGAAATATATGTAACAAACACAAACCCTAGAGTGTATTAGAGTTATTTATAGACATCTCCCTTCCTTTTGTCTAGAAAGTATACGAGTTCATAAGGTTACTTGATGTGGTAAGTAAGAATAGCGATATTTTAGATAGTATGTCCTACATCTCGACAAGGTATTTAGTCCCCTATTTCGTTTAAGATGATGAAAGACTGGTAGTTGAATTTTCCCACAATGTTATGGGAAGAGCTAACGTTTCCATTGAATTACACGTAGCCTTGCTTTTCCAAAAGGCGTTCTCATCCAAAATGGACTGCAGTTTCAGCCTCGCCCAGGTCTTATCAACATCACCTACGGGAGTCGAACTATGAAAGTGCAGCGTGTAATCTCGACTACTAGGTCACGAGTGCTCTTGCGTCCCAAGGCAGATGCGAATTTCAAGAAAGACTAGACATTTTTCCATATCACATTCTTTTGTATGATTGTCGATGAGGCAAACTTATATTTGCTATAGCAATCGATGAGAATACTTTTATTTCGTTTTAATTAAACTTTCGAGACTACAAGTAATTCAGACATTTAAGCTATGTTCACCCTAGTTCGTCCACCCCGGATAAGAACACTTTTTGATAAAGAAAGACTATGCGAAATTCGATGAAAGTGTCAGCTCTGTTCATATCCTTGTGGGAAAATTCAACTATCAGTCCCTCATCAT